CCAGAAACATTACTGTATGATATATAGTAGGAGAGCTCATGATTCGAAGTGGAATGTGGGTGACAGTGATAACATTTTTATGTAAGCCTTTTTAGAGCATCAAGGAAGGCATAAGATTATTTTGGTTGTGGCCCCTTACAAGCCTTCATATGGTCAGTAGAAATTTGCTTTTTGTAGAAAATGGAAAATAGAGGCTTCGGTTTGCTGAAGTGCAATGCACAATTAAAATTCAGCTTAATATAGGAGTATTAGGAAAGGAAAAACAAAGGTAACAACGTACGTAAGTGAACAGTATTGCTTTCAGTTAGGTCGCACGTCTTCAATGTAATATATAACTGTACGAATAAACGACATATATAGGTTAATCATGGTGATTTGCAAAAGGATGATAAGATTGCAACTACTCACAGTGATAACATTATTATTATTATTATTATCATGGTTTCCTTCAGTTCCTGGAGTAACACAGGGCTTCAACCGCACTTCTCCATTGCGTTCGGTTATTTGCCAACGTTTTTGCTTGGCTCCAGGTCTGCCCACATGCTTTCATTTCCTCTTCATATAACCTCCGTGTCACCTTCGCATTGACGACCAACTCGCCGCTTCCCGTTCGGGCTCCACTAGAGAGTCTGTCGTGTGATGTTACTTGGTGGTTTTCTCAGAGTATGGCCAATCCACCTCCATTTCTTCCTGCATATTTGTAGCACAATTGGTTCCTTCTTGGTCGGTCCGCTCCCAGAGATCCCTGTTGCTGATCTTTTCTGGCCATCTGATCCTAACCTAAGTATTGAGCGAAGACAGCTGTTAGTGAAGGTCTGTAGTTTGTTTGAATTGCTCTTTACGACTTGCCAAGTCTCTGATCTGCATAGTAGCACTGACTTCACATCGGAGTTGAAAATCCACATCTTGTTTTTCATGCTGAGTGATGTTGATGTTGACCTCCACACAGACTTGAGAGTAATGAAAGCTTGTCTTGCTTTTCCGATTCTTGCCTTGATATCCTCGTCAGTTCCGGCTGTAGTTGAGACGATGCTTCCCAGGTAGGTGAAGGAGGCTGTTTCTTTCAGGTTCCTCCCATTCATGCTGATTGTTGTCTGTTGTTGTTGCTGCTGCTGGCCAGGAATACTCATCACGTCTGTTTTCTCTATGTTCACTTGAGGTCCTGTCTTTGATGCTTCTTCTGCTAACTTGTTGCTTTTCACTTGCATATCTTCCAGTTTGTGGGAGATCAGATATCATCGGCGAAGCCCCCAGATCCTCCAAGTTTAGTAGTTCTGTTAACAACCGTGATGTAAGATATAACGATGTGATTATAAGAATGTTGAAAACACGTTGGTTATACAGACAAAAGCCTTTATCATCACCAGTCGGCCTGTTTTTCATCATTGTCGTTAATCACGAGTTACTCAATTTCCCAACACAATCTCACCATTCCTACTGATAATTCACTGTGATTCGTATCTATTTAATGCTGTTTGCCTACATGCGTTGCTGTTGGTTTTACTGTGGGAGACTTTAATATTAGGAAAAATGGAAACCATATAGAGCAAGTTAGGGAACAAAGTGAATAGCTTAATCTAATTATGAGGCAGTTTTATTTCAAAACTAATAGTAGAACTATTTATTTATTATATTTTGTAGCTTGAACGACAAATCATAGCATCGGACCCACGGGTTACTCGCTTTCCAATTGACTGGGGTGATGGTCTGCTGGATGGTTGCCGGGAACCAGAACAGCCTGCTGAGGATAATGAGGAGTCTACATCACAAGATAACGAAGAATCTGTCTCACAAAGTAATGAAGAGTTTGTGCAACAAGTTAATGAAGGGTCGGGCACAGAAGATAATGAGATGTCTTTCCTACAAGATAATGAGGAGTCTGTGCAACAGATTAATGAGGGGTCGGGCACAGAAGATAATGAGATGTCTTTCCTACAAGATAATGAGGAGTCTGTGCAACAGATTAATGAGGGGTCGGGCACAGAAGATAATGAGGTGTTTCTCCTACATGATGATGAGTCTGCGCAACAGCCTAATGAAGGGTCGAGCACAGAAGATAGTGAGATCTTTGCCCTACAAGATAATGAGGAGTCTGTGCAACAGCCTAATGAGGGGTCGAGCACAGAAGATGATGAGATGTCTTTCCTACAAGATAATGAGGAGTCTGTGCAACATGTTAATGTAGGATCTGTCCTACAAGATAATGAAGAGCAAGTGGAAAATATTTCTCAAATTGGTCAATTGAATGAGAGTCGAAACGATAAGTTAGGTTCATCCAGTCTTGGTGAGGGACAAACTGGTGTGCACTTCACAGAGAATACATCATGTATCCCGCTGCATGTCGTACAATCATCAGTCATTTATTTTGATAAATTCTAAGTTTCTAGCGAAACTTACTACACAGCTTGCATTTGTGAAACTGAACACTTCTGTGTTTTCAGTGTTATTCATATTGGTAACTGCTTGTTGTCATGAATACTTCGTTTTTCTCTTATTATACATACAAGATATAACGATTTATATTTTTGTAATTGTGTGTAATCACCTAGAATAAATTTTCATTTCCATATATGTGACTTTTCGAAGATTGAATCATAGTTTCCTACAAAATGGCGGTGGCTTTATAGGTATTTGATTGATGTTAGTTTTGCTCGTGACAAAATCCGCTTTGACAGGAAAATAAATTGCTTAGGGAATGAAAAAGTAAATGCTGTAATTTACAATGAATTTGTTTTGGAGTCTGAAGTTCTGTAACTATGACTAGGATCGGAAAGGTGTATTGGATACTATTGTATATGTTGTGAAACTTGCGGTGAATAGTTGTATTTACTGACTTTATATTACAAACCGAACCTGATGGCTTGACGGAGTAAAAGGTGGGAAACACCATCCATCTCAGATAACGGCTGCACTAGTGTGTGCAGAGTTTCACTCGAATAAGTTACACAATTCAGACAAATTGTTCCGTAGTCTAGCTGGGACTCTGACTAATAGCACAAATTCTCAGTGATGCAATGCTACTCGCGTAATCCACCTTATACTTTTGTTCATAATGCGGAAAGGTATGAAAGTTGTTCGCGGTTGACAAGTATTTATGAAAGGTTTCATTGGAGGTGACTAATATAGAGGTTGTTCTGGGCACTTGACTTCGTGGTGTGAAATCCGGTTGTGGTAGGAAGCAGAAGTTACGATTTGCAACACCCCAGTCAAATCACTTTGCAAGTATTGAACGTGATGAGCTTCCACACGTTGCCTGTTGTGATAGCGAACCTGTCGTCATGATCACATCAAAGAACAGCTTATTGGGCCCAACCATTTTGTAAATTGAGACGGCATGGACAGAATTTATACGATACTCAGCCGTAGGATAAAACAAAGACAAGTAGGCATTTTGTGAAAATAATTAGGATTACGTAATGACAGCATTAGTCAAATGTAGACTTCAGAATGTGAGATATGATCGATTTGTTTTCAGAACATTGGATAAGTGCCCAAAACCTACTTTAGCAATCGTTCCATAATTTGCATGTGACCTCAAATATTTCATCAAAAATAGCGCTGTAGTGGGAAGTCACTTTTGTGGCTTTTAGTCGTAAGTTTCATCTGCAAAGCGCTAGGGCTTTTCCAAGAGTCTTATTCCCATAGTCGTTATCGACACAGGTACCTTAGTACACCTCCAGGCTGTGATTTTTTCGTTTATGATTTATAACTAAGGTATTCCCGTTTTCCTAGGCAAATGTTTATGAGGCGAAAATATTCATCCACTGCTTATTAACTGGATCAACAGACAGAATAGATATATTAGGTTGGTGTGTGCCTATGAAATAACGACAACATCGTATGAAGAATTCAAACAAATAGATAGTAGCAAAAAGTGAGTTATGAAATGTAAATTCCAGAAGCGTAAACCAACAATCTCGATGGAAGCAAGAGTTTCGACATCACAATGATATAAAAAGTTATGTCAAAATAATCCAGATATTAAAAGAGAAAAAAACATAAAAGGCGATGGTTGTCTCACGAATGAATCAGTTCGAGTAGAGTTCCCTGAATACTGTGATATACTCTCTCGCCAACATGGCACACTTGATTCCCTATTCCCTTCCATAGACAAGTTGGACAGTGGTCAAAACATCGACAGTTGGCTTGTCTGTCGAATGATTCTACGTATTCAACCATCTGCACAAGACCAGTTAAGCTTATAAATGTGAATGTACTCGTCCAATGGACAGTGACAGGGGTGACAATCAACAGCATATCTGACAGCTGCATTCGAATGAAACGATGAGTAGTAGATTTGACACAACCTTGTGGCGAAGAACGCTGGTATCACTACTTTTCTGATTTTCGACCAGTCCTACTCGAAAGTGATATGCATTAGTGATGGCTTGACGAATGACCTGTGGGTACTTGCAGCCAACGACAAAGTCGATCAACTTGGAAGAGTACTCCCACGAGCAATAGATTTGATAGGTGGAGAGTTGAAGTTGTCTTGAGGAAGAGTTCAGAAACTTTCGTCACTAGTAACATCTGAGCTAGAGACTGTGTGATGAGCCGGTGTGCAAACTGCACTCTGAGGAGCAAACCTGCACACATGGTGGCATTCTTTGGTTTGACCACGCTTAACTCTCTCCAATCTAATCACAAATACCAGGTAAGATTGCTGGTCGAGCAGGCCGGTGACTCGGTATGCGTGTCACATGTCTAAACCATCTCAATTGGTGCAGCTTCTCAACATTGACTTTCCTCCCTTGCCTAAGGGTCTATGCGCAACGTGATTATTACTACCACTATCACTATTAATGTTCCTCTCCTTCTTGTGGAAGATGTTATACCACGAGGTGAGATTAGAAGTGGAAGGGAGACGGCTAGTCACTCCACATCTTCCACGTTCAACGTGTATGTCAGACAGCTGGTTGTAGAGGAGAAGGTAGCGAACTGCTGCACGGCACACACGTGCTTTGAAGGATATCCGGATATCATGGCTGAGCGAGAGATGACATGAGTTGGGCGAATGCAGTGCTCAGACTTCATCAGAAATCAGTGCACTGGGGTTGATGCGACCTCCCAAATAAGTGAAGTGGTGAACACGCTGAAGCATTTCACTGGCTATCCCTAGAGTAGAAGTCGGTTCACACCAGTCCTGCAACATCATCTTACATTTGACACGGGCGAATCGCATGACCAAGCTACTGAGATTTATGATGAAGCTGTTCACAATACTCTGCATTTGTCAATGACTTCACTCAGAGTTACTATATCATCTGCATACTGTATGCAGATCGACCAGACTCTCGCCTGGTAACAAGTCAATCCATGAGACGTGGATGTGGATCACGACCACCTGCATTGATTGGCACATGTATAATCAGGTTACTCGGAATTGGTGACACTGGGGATGCATGAAGATCTGCATTGGTTGTCTTCACTCCACTCCAAACCACACCTGTTCAACTCACTTCACTTCACCTGACTTCAGTTCACTTCACTTCACTTCACTTCTCATGGGAACGAGGCGTTAGCTGTCTCACGAATGAATCAGTTCGAGTAGAGTTCCCTGAATACTGTGATATACTCTCTCGCCAACATGGCACACTTGATTCCCTATTCCCTTCCATAGACAAGTTGGACAGTGGTCAAAACATCGACAGTTGGCTTGTCTGTCGAATGATTCTACGTATTCAACCATCTGCACAAGACCAGTTAAGCTTATAAATGTGAATGTACTCGTCCAATGGACAGTGACAGGGGTGACAATCAACAGCATATCTGACAGCTGCATTCGAATGAAACGATGAGTAGTAGATTTGACACAACCTTGTGGCGAAGAACGCTGGTATCACTACTTTTCTGATTTTCGACCAGTCCTACTCGAAAGTGATATGCATTAGTGATGGCTTGACGAATGACCTGTGGGTACTTGCAGCCAACGACAAAGTCGATCAACTTGGAAGAGTACTCCCACGAGCAATAGATTTGATAGGTGGAGAGTTGAAGTTGTCTTGAGGAAGAGTTCAGAAACTTTCGTCACTAGTAACATCTGAGCTAGAGACTGTGTGATGAGCCGGTGTGCAAACTGCACTCTGAGGAGCAAACCTGCACACATGGTGGCATTCTTTGGTTTGACCACGCTTAACTCTCTCCAATCTAATCACAAATACCAGGTAAGATTGCTGGTCGAGCAGGCCGGTGACTCGGTATGCGTGTCACATGTCTAAACCATCTCAATTGGTGCAGCTTCTCAACATTGACTTTCCTCCCTTGCCTAAGGGTCTATGCGCAACGTGATTATTACTACCACTATCACTATTAATGTTCCTCTCCTTCTTGTGGAAGATGTTATACCACGAGGTGAGATTAGAAGTGGAAGGGAGACGGCTAGTCACTCCACATCTTCCACGTTCAACGTGTATGTCAGACAGCTGGTTGTAGAGGAGAAGGTAGCGAACTGCTGCACGGCACACACGTGCTTTGAAGGATATCCGGATATCATGGCTGAGCGAGAGATGACATGAGTTGGGCGAATGCAGTGCTCAGACTTCATCAGAAATCAGTGCACTGGGGTTGATGCGACCTCCCAAATAAGTGAAGTGGTGAACACGCTGAAGCATTTCACTGGCTATCCCTAGAGTAGAAGTCGGTTCACACCAGTCCTGCAACATCATCTTACATTTGACACGGGCGAATCGCATGACCAAGCTACTGAGATTTATGATGAAGCTGTTCACAATACTCTGCATTTGTCAATGACTTCACTCAGAGTTACTATATCATCTGCATACTGTATGCAGATCGACCAGACTCTCGCCTGGTAACAAGTCAATCCATGAGACGTGGATGTGGATCACGACCACCTGCATTGATTGGCACATGTATAATCAGGTTACTCGGAATTGGTGACACTGGGGATGCATGAAGATCTGCATTGGTTGTCTTCACTCCACTCCAAACCACACCTGTTCAACTCACTTCACTTCACCTGACTTCAGTTCACTTCACTTCACTTCACTTCTCATGGGAACGAGGCGTTAGCTGTCTCACGAATGAATCAGTTCGAGTAGAGTTCCCTGAATACTGTGATATACTCTCTCGCCAACATGGCACACTTGATTCCCTATTCCCTTCCATAGACAAGTTGGACAGTGGTCAAAACATCGACAGTTGGCTTGTCTGTCGAATGATTCTACGTATTCAACCATCTGCACAAGACCAGTTAAGCTTATAAATGTGAATGTACTCGTCCAATGGACAGTGACAGGGGTGACAATCAACAGCATATCTGACAGCTGCATTCGAATGAAACGATGAGTAGTAGATTTGACACAACCTTGTGGCGAAGAACGCTGGTATCACTACTTTTCTGATTTTCGACCAGTCCTACTCGAAAGTGATATGCATTAGTGATGGCTTGACGAATGACCTGTGGGTACTTGCAGCCAACGACAAAGTCGATCAACTTGGAAGAGTACTCCCACGAGCAATAGATTTGATAGGTGGAGAGTTGAAGTTGTCTTGAGGAAGAGTTCAGAAACTTTCGTCACTAGTAACATCTGAGCTAGAGACTGTGT